ATTTAGAATATATAAACAAACCATTAAGAAACAGCTAAACAGAAAAGGTGCCAAAAGTCTTAAGCAATCATTTCACACATACACAAAAAATTTAAATGGCCAAGAAACATAGTACCAGATGCTCAATCTAATTAATTAGTCATCGGGAAAATTAAATTAAAACCATGAAGAGATAGAAATGTATACACCAAGATTAGCTAAACTAGGAAGTCTATTGATACCAAGTGTTGGCAAAAATACAGTGCAATAGGAACACTCATATAATGTCTGTAGGAAAAGTAACTAATACAAGTGCTTAGGAAACCAGTTTGGTACTATCTATTAAATTTGAAGATATACTATGACTCATCAATTCCACTTCCATATGCATGCCATACAGATATATATGCTAATACACACCTGGCTACATATACAAGCAGCATTTTGTGACTAGCCCAAAACCGAAAACAACTCAAAAGTCCATCAATCAACAAAAATGAGGCATATTTAATAGAACAGAACAAACATGAATTGACTATAGCCATATACAAAATAAGGATGAATCTTAACGTTGAGCCAAAGAAGCCAAGAACAAAACATTACTACAAAAGTGCATTTATATAAGTTCAAAACAAGACATAAAAACTTAGACATCAAAACAATAAACAAAAACAGAGAGGTGATTACCATAAATAGCAGAATATTAACTACCTAACAGGCAAGGAAGAAAGCTATAATCTGGAAAGGGTAGGAAGCAATAATCTATTGTTTAATCAGATGGTGGTTTACAAGGATGGTCATTCTATTATGATTCTTCTAACTGCAAATTTGCTTAACGGACTTTTCTGTGTTTTATTTCATATAAAAACATTGTAAAATTCAACTCATTAAAATTCCAAACAAAACCAAAAGGAAACCAGGACTCACCAAAACTGTCCTATTGTAAATTAAACTGGTACCACAAATGTCCAGAAGTGTATTTTAAGATGAAATCAAATGAATATAAAGCAATTGTCCAAATGATAGTACAAATTTGCACAGATGAGACTGGCTTTTACATGAACCCCAAAGCCCTTTAGTTCAATCCAACCATAAAGAAAGAATAACATCTTCATTTATACACATATATTTATTAAATGCTGTGGTAGGCAGGCTCTAAGTAAGATAGCTGCCAAAGATCCCCCACCTTAGTATTTACACCCCTCTGTAATTCCCTCTCTTTGTGTGGGCTGGACCTAATGATTTGCTTCCAAGGAACAGAAAAACGCCCATGTGGTGGGATGTCACTTCAAGATTAAGTTACATACATTATGTGACTGCTGTCTTTAAAGCCCTTTGTGGCTTTCTCACGGGCTCACTGAGGCAAGCCAGCTGTCATGTAGTAAACTATCCTATGAAGAAGCCCATGTGATAAAGAATTGACATTTCTTTCCAACAGCCAGTGAGTGAGTTTGGAATGGTTCCCATTCCAGTGGAACCTTAAGATAACTGCTGCCCTGGCCAACACCTGGATTGTAGCTTGGTGAGAAACCGTGAGCCAAGGTACTCTGTTACACTGCACCAATATTCCTGACCCAAGACAGATATTAAATGTTTGACATTTTAAGCCACTGAATGTGAAGGTTAACTTGTTACACAGCAGTACATAACTAATTCAGATGGCTACTATGTGCCTTGCACATTCCTGTCTCTTAATATTTGAAAGAGAATCAGTAGGAAAAAATAAATCAAAAACAAAAATTACATATAGGATTCTAATAGCCCTAAAATACTAGCGAGATTTAACATTGGAATAAATAAGTACATTAAATCTGAAAAGTAGATTTAACTTCTAAATTGGTATAAATCAATGTCTAAACTAAGACTCATCACAACCCCAATTAAAAGTATGAAATCACAAAGTTAATTTTCAAAGTCTAAATGCTAATCTCTGGAAAATAAACTCAAAAGCAGAACTTCTGCCTTCTGGTATGTATTTTGCTTGAATAAGTTCAAGTATAAATTACACTACAGAAGATAAAACATTTAACAACTATATTCATTTTGAGGATTAAACATGCAAATGTACTTTATAACACATGCAAGAAGAAAATACAGCCACTCCATTCTGTCTGCACTAAATCAAGAGGCATTCATCAACTATATTTTCTAGGCTTAAGTTTATTATGCTTATAAATCACTACTGTACCTGACTCCAATCATAGAGAAATTTATGAAGTGTAATCAAAGTAATAGGTAAATTTTTAAAAGTCTGTTAACCTAGCTCCAAATTTTCAAATTTTTAAAACTTTGTTAACCTAGCTCCTCAAAGTCCCTTGTGTAATTAAACCTGAAATACTAAAAATCACTCGATGGATACATTGAAAATGAGAAAAAAATGTATTAATGACAGTATAACCAATGCACAGAAGAGGCACCATATTCAGAGGTGCTTGGAACTATAGTAGTATGTTTCTTGGTTAAACTGCCTATCATGATAAAATATGGACCAAGGCGAACCAAAATCAATCATTCACAGGATCATATTAGTTTGAACTAAAGTTAAGCTGAAAAGTTTTACAGCACCATTAACCTAGACCTTTAATAACAGAAATATAGAAACGCCAATACTAAGAGATATATGATCAAAGGCAGTATTATAGGAGGTGTTACTGGAGGCCACCAGCCACCGAATCAGAGGACAAATTAGGATCTCAAAGAAGAATCCTTGTTGGGAAACAATTCTCCACTGATCTCTCCCATTTCTGTTCATCTTGTGATAGCTTTTGTTCCCAATTACCTTTTCAAGGATGTACAGAGACCACTCAGGCAAGACAGAAACTGTGACTTCCTCCAGGACAGAGGGCAGATTTGTTTTCTGATCAACAAAATAAAAATAGTGTGTCCCTGCAGGGCAAAGACTGGACAGGTTTGCTAGCAGACCCTTTTAAAGACGGGGGTTTCCTCGGCTCAGGGTTCCTTAGTTGTAACAAATCCATTGTATGTGTGGCATCAACCTGGGTCTATCTCCACATCATCTCCACATCGCCCCTAGGAACATAGGGGTCAGGGGGAACTGATACAAAACTGAAGCTGATCTGCCAGACATGACGTAGTAAAGCCCTTTAACTCGGGAGTCTCCCTCATCTTCTGCCAGCATCTATAAAACTGTGGCAGGCTAACTTGTTAGCCTGCTAATAGGGTAAAACTCTCAGACCTTTCAAAGCTTTTCTAACAGTTACATGTTATATCCTTATTACCTGAGACAATTTCAAATCTAACAATTTATTGCAAGTATTTAATAGACCCCCAGAGAAACACTAAAAATCTCAGGGGCTAATGAAAATCTTAAGTAATTCAGGACACAGATAATGACCAGCCATTTCATTTAACCCCCAGATAGCCTCATATTTGTACTGTTGACTTAACTGATTCATTATCAGGTAACTTCCTACATACTGAATCTCACTTTTAGTGAGTTCAAAGTCTAAGGCAGAAAGAAACATGTACGACTACTGCAAAATAATTTCACATTCTGTTTTAAAAAGGAGGAGGGTATGTACAGAGTATGAAAAATTATCACTCTTCCAAAGAATTTTCTATAGTAATGCATGCTGAGTGCACATAATGAATTAATAATTTTATGTCCATCTGTTATAAAATTTTCAACTTTGGTACCTCAAAGTGTGGTCTGAGAACCAAGAGCATCATCACCTGGAGCTTACTAGAAATGTAGATTATCAGAGTCTAACACATACACCCTCAATCAGAAATTGTTTCCTAACAAGATCCTCAGGTGATTTTCATGCATATTAAAATTTAAGAAGTACCCACCAAAACAAAACAAAAGAATAAATCTTAAATTTATAAAGAAGATAATGGTTTTGTTAACAGGCATCTTAAAACAACAATTGTTAACAAAAGTTAAGAGTAAGAAAAATACAGTCATAAGCCATCTGAAAAACATTTAGTTATAAACAGCTAGCATAATACAGAAAAATCTTATCTAAACAAAGAAAAAGTTAAAAATACACATCATGAATAATCAAAAAAAGGAGGAATACCAAACTAAGATAATATAAGGTCTGGCAATGCACACTTAAAGTACTTCATCAAAATAAAGACATTTTTCAACGTTTTACTTTCAAAAATAATAAAGCTAGCCTAGAACCTAACACGTAATAGCTGGTCTTTTTTATTTTTTCCTTAGCTGAGCCATCCTGCCACCAGTAGGCAGCTCAGTGGCAGCTCAGCTCAGGCCGGGAATGGAACCTGCAACCCTGCTGCTCAGAACTCACACTCTTGAGCAAGCTCTTAACCAACTGAGCCACTCGGCCGGCCCTTGGTCATTTTTTTTAATGAGTAAAAAGTGTCCTACTTAGACAACTCAAACTAAAAATATATGAGATTTGAGATAGTTAGGAATTTAATATAAAACAACTTTCAAAGTTATTTTAGTATGCTACCCAGAACACAGGATTTTGCCTTTGATTTTCCCATAGTTTATACAAGGGTGAAATAATGAAGGAATTTTATATTAAATTAGAACATTCTAGTTATAAATTTGTTAATAAAAACTTATCTTCTAGCTATCATGCACGACTTACATTTTCCAAGTTCTAAACAGGTTTTTACTTGTTTTTATCTCGGCATGCATTTTTACTGTAACAAAAATTGTAACCCTTTCTAATTAAGGCTCTATTCCCTAAATTTTCCTAAATTTTCTTTTCAGGGTGAAGGGTAAGCTGTCATTTGATAATTCTATTTTCTATTCTTTATAGCTCCGAGGTTAAGTCATTGCATTCAATCCTATAGGAGACGTGTCAGCAAGGGATTTTTAAAAAGGGGTTTTCAAAGTTTCAAGTTGTAAAGGTAAAAGAAGTTAAAATAACAAAGCTTAAGAAAAACTGAAAACTCAAATGCTTTTTACATGTTTAAAAAAAATTTTTTTAGCTTGATATGCCTTTACAAAAATGGGGGTAAAAAGGGAGTAGTGAACAATAGTAAATGAAACATTAAGTAAAACACACAAAATAATATACCTCTCTCTTATTTCTTCTTGCAACCTTGAGGAATTCCATAAGGATCTGTAGTTGGGCTGCATGTGATTCCTATAATAGAAAATTATAATCGTTCTTTTAAAAATATAACTGTGAGTTCAAAGTTGTCTTTAATACCACAATATAACCAGTATGAAGCAACTTTATTCATCCATTTAAATCAGTCTATTACTATTTAATCAGTTTTCCCATTTGCTAATTTGCATTCTTAAAAGCAAGCCATTTTCTGTAAAACTAACAAATTTTAATAAACAGGTGTTTTAAATTATATTCCTCATATACCTTGCTGAAAAACTATTTGTTTTATAGGAAGTGGCAATTCTGTTGTCTGTCATAGCTTCCTATTCCCCAAACTAATATAACATCAAGGCAAAAATCATGGTGGCTCCAACAGAGTTTGTAGATACTAACATCACTTTCCCCATAAGAATTTCATTTGCAAGGGAGTAAGAATTATAATAAATGGGAAGAAATCCATACGTTTCAGAAGTCAAATTTACTATTTCTGGTTATTATCTACTCACAGATATGAAAATTAATATATTTCTTCTACAGAAGATTTCAGTCAAAATCGAATACTTAAAAACAAAAATGTTAATATAATCAAGTGAAAGGAGGGGGAAATAACCCAAATTGGTAACAAACAAAAATGTAATAGATAAATGACAATTATAAGTTTGACATTTTCTGGGCATCAAAAAATAAAATTATAAAAAATATATATTTTACTGTTAAAATTCACACAAAGAACCAAGGAATTCCCGGTGAATTGACAAATGTATGTAAAAAGAAAACCAAAAGCTAAAAATGGAGTAACAATAAGAAGTGGTTTATGAACAAATACAATTCTAATTTTTTATACATATTTGAAAATAATAAAAAAGGACAATGAAGCACTTCCAAAATAAATAAATAGGAAAGATTAATAAAACTTTCATTTACCTGGCTATGCAACAGAATTATCTGAGGCATTTGTTAAATAAATACTGGGAAAGATTTTATCAGATTGTGTTACTCTAGAAAACATTCCTATGTTCAACAAATCCTCAGCTGATAAGAATAAGCCAGTCAAAATTTGAAGAATCACTAAGATATTTACACATACTGCAAAAAAGCAAGGTCACTTCACCCCCACTCCCAGAGTCTATGCCCTTTGGGGAATGGGAGGAAATCTTTACGTTTTAAAGAATAAGAGGCAAAGTAGATCAATAAAATGTTTAAGTCAAGACAAATAAGGACAAAAGAGGACAAATATGAACTGACAATCACATTAGGATATTTCAGTTAACAAACACACCTGAACTAATGTGTCACAACTAAATAAATTTGTAAAACCTGGTGTCATGAAGATTTAAAAGTGAAATTTTTTCTTGCATATCAAACAGGTATTTATTGGACCGCAGACACACTTTTGAGAAGTTAAACTATCACAAAGACAAATTCACTGGTGCTCTGTGTCCCAACAATGTGACAAAGTATCCCAGAATCCTCTGCATCTTTCTTGGGACTCTACACTGATCATTTGTAACTGCCTACAGATTATTTGGCTAGAGAGCAAAGACCACATCTTTATACAAAAAGGGACATACCCAGCCAAGGCTGCTAATAAATAACAGTTCACCTGCAAAGGAAGTGTACAAACTATCTTCAAAATAGTTAAGTGTGAATACTTCATTTTGGTCTATCAACTAGGACACATAAATAGGATAGGAATGCAACTGATTTGTAGAAAATGGGGGAACCCCCCCAAAGCCGTATGACCAAAGAAATATCAGTTTTCCTTTGACCTTGCAATATCATTTGGCTTTGTAAATTAGAAGTACTATTCATTACTTGGATTTTAAGGGAAGGAAAGAAAAAAGAAAAGCAAGAGGGGGAGGAGGTGGAGTAGACAGAAGAGAAAACAAAACAAGACTTGACTTTCCAGGTGTAACAGAAAGTGCAAGTTACAGGACTCTAACCTAAAAACCCTTTAAAACGTTGAGAGTTTCCCCTACTTGGTTTCAGCGTCCCTATCTATAAAATAATCAGGTAACATTTCACAAATGCGAGTCATTTTCCCATAGCTTATGTAATTGTTACTATTATTTAGGTGATAATTTTTCTCTACATCAATACATTCTTTTCCTTAAATAAAAAAAAAGTCTACAGGATATGCACTTCTGGCAGTATGACTGACTACAACAGCCTTCAGAACAAGGAATATTTCAAGTAATAAATATATACAATTCATAACGATAAAGGGGATGATTCATCCAGAAGACCTAATAATCCTAGATATAAATGCACCCAATAACAAGTTTCAAAATAGATGAAGCAAAAAATCACAGAAAACAATGAAAAATGGACAATCAAAATTATATTTTTAACATACCCCCTATCAGTAATTGATGGAGCTAGGAGGGAAAAAAAATGTGAATAATATTAACAAACTCTACATAATCTACATTTAGAAAAGCAGTGTGACAAAGAGCATACTACTTTCAACTACAAACATTTAACCAAATAGACCACATACCATATAATGAAAATCACAACAAATCAAAAGCATACAAATAAAACATCTGGCTAAAATGCAGTGAGAAATACACAATTAACACTCCTACCTTAATAAAGAGCAGACCAGTTATGAAACAATGCCTTTCAGACTAAGAACCAGAAATACTATATTTTCCCAGGAGCCAGGATGGAAAAACCTTGAAATACACAGGCCTCAGGTAGAATACTCAAAAAGGTTGCGTGAGTAGTAGGCAAAATCAGCCTAGACAAAAATCTGCTCTGGTCCCACCTAACAAAGCTTAAAAACAAGCTTCAAGAGAATCAGACATTTTCCAAGTAACTTGACTGCATGCCAGAACAAAGCTCAGGGAAGTGTAAAAAAATACAAAAATATCCAGCACATGGTAAAACTTAGAAGTGTCCAATTAAAAAGTAAATAGGCAGGAAAATACCTCCAAAATAAGGGGGGAGTCATCAATAAAAAGAGATACAGAAATGACATAAATAATAGAATTAGTGAACAAAGACATTAAAAGAATTATTATAACTACATATATATTCTAGAAATCAGAAGAAAGCATAAGCATGTAAGGAGAGACATGGGAGATAGAAATGATTAGTGAACTTGACAATAGAAACTATCCAAAATGAACTAGATAAAGGAAAAAGAAACCAGAAGTGAACAGAGCTGTTTATTGGTGAACTGTGGAATAACTTCAACCATCCTAATATCTGTGTAATTGGAGTTCCTAAAGTGGAAGAGGAACAGAAAAGTATTTAAAGAAATGACTGAAAAATTTCCAAATCTGACAGAAACTATAAACCCAGAGATCCAACAATCTCAAAGAACCTTAAGAACAAACAACATGGGAGAGGGAAGGGAACTACATCAAGGCACATCAAAATCAAAATGCATAAAACCATAAAAAGAACATCTTAAACTCGGAGAAATATATTTCATCCCGAGGACTAGAGATGCAAATGGCAATAGACTTCTCAATGAAACAATGCAATACAGAACAATGGAGAAATATCTTTAAAAACACTGAATTAAAAAAAGTAAATGTAGAATTCAACACTTATTTGGAAGTACCTTTCAAACACAAAGGCAAAATAAAGACTTGCTCAGACACAAAAGCTGGAAGAATTCATCACCAGCAGATCTGCATTAAAGGGATAATTCAGGCAAAAGGAAAATTACAGATGAATTCAAAAGAATGAATGGAAAACAAAAGCAGAAAGTGCACCAGAAATGGAAAATACATGGATATTATATGCTGTCTGACCACAATGCAGTTCAACTAGAATTCAATACCTAAATATATATTTGGCCAAGTAGCAATATTCAAAACACACACACACACACACACACACACACACACACACACACACACACACAATCTGACAACTATCAGATAGGCAGAAATTAAAAAAGAGAAAAACACCAAGTGTTGTTGACATGGTAAAAATCCAAAGAGCAATTAGGCAGTATTTTATAAGTTAAAATGTGCATGCAAACACTATGAACAACTCCACTCTTTAAATCACTAAATGTCTCATATGTATGAGCACAAAGAGACATGTATAACAACATGAAATGCAGTACTGTCACTCATTGCTAAGACTTGGGAAGAACTTAAATGTCCATCCATGGGAATAGATATGTTCATGTAATGGATTACTACAGAGAAGTTAAAATAAGTAAACTAGACCTATGTTTATCAACATGAACATCAAAAGTAAACAATGAGGCATATGTCAAAAGGATAGCTACAGCATGAAACTCTTTATATAAACTTCTAATTATATAAACAATACTTTATATGGTTGTAAATACAAATATGCGTAAGATAAACATACACATGCTTGAGAAAGATACTTGCCAGTTTCATACAGTGGTTATTCTGGCGGAATGGAATGAGATGAGTGGTGAGATGGCTCAAGTATAAAAAAAAAATTCAATTCTCAAAAGGCAGATCTAAGATATACGTGGCAAAGTGTTAATATTTAGTAAAACTCATTATTTTCTGTATGTTGAAAATATTCATCAAGTTAAATAATAATACAAAGTAAAATAGGAAAACGATAATGTAAAAAATCTATAAAACCTATGCTAGGAACTTGGCTTCTGAGCTGGCTCCCTCTTTAAAAAATAGTAGAAAAGATCCTTGGTCTAAAACTAAGATACCTGTATTTCTTCAATTCCCAGAAAAAAAGCCAAAAGACGCCAAGACTAATGTTGGCACATCAAAAAGTGGGTCAACAGTTCTCACATTCAGCGTGTAAACTAATCTATCTTCAGTATGGTACCCTGCCCACCTTTTGTGCAGTAGTCCAGAGAGCCTCTCTTTTCCAACCACCAGGGTAAAAAAAAATCTAGTGTTCTCCTCCGGAAGAAAAAGGAGCATCACTTGCGGTGAGCTGTATAAGTAGGGACCAGAGATTCCAACTGCTTCTTAATCACACTCTCAACCAATCACCCTGTTTTCAGTCTTTACTATATGAGGCATCTAATGCTCCCAATTCCAAGGCCTTTGTTCCCCAATATAAGTGGGATTGGTTCTTGGTGCTTGCCCCATTGTTGGCCTAGTAGTCAGCTTTCTCAGATCTCTTAACCTATTACTTTTCATCCATCTGCTTTACAGTTTACAAAATACTGCTGCCATTTTCTATTTTCCCAATCTTTGCCTTTTTAAATCCCTTTTCATCTCATTTTCACAGCATTAAGAGAGCATGGTAACTGCATATATTCAGTCTATCAAAGAGAAGTCTCTTTATCCGTTTGTCACTATGTGAAAATATTTACTTAATTAATTTATGTTCTCATCCCACATTTCCCTCCACAGTAGAATCCTATCTTTTTTCCACAGCCCTTAACACAACTCCTAGCACATCGTAGATGCTAACAGAAAACTATGTTTAAAACTATAGGAGGGTCTTGGCAACAATTTTTGGGGTATGACACCTAAAAGCACAAGGAACAAAATAAAAAATAAACAAGTGGGACTACATGATACTAAAAAGTTTCTGCACATCAAATGAAACAATCAACAAAATGAAAAGGCAGCCTATGGAATGGGAGAAAATATTTGCAGATCATACATCTGATAAGGGGTTAATATCCAAAATATATAAAGAACTCTATATATAACTCAATAGTAGTAGTGATAATAATAATAATAATAATAATAATAATAATAATAATCCATTTAAGAAATGGGCAAAGGACCTGAATAGACATTTTTCCCAAAAAAATATTCAAATGGCTAATAGGTATATGAAATGGTGTTCAACATTACTAATCATTAGGAAAATGCAAATCAAAACCACAATAATGTATCACTTCATGCCTATTAAAACGGTTATCATCAAAAAGACAAGATAGCAAATACTGAGAATGCGAAGAAAAGGGAACCCTCGTGCACTACTGATGGGTATGTAAGTTAGTTTAGCCACTACGGAAAACAGTATGGAGTTTCCTCAAAAAATTAAAAATTGAGCTACCATATGATCCAGCAATCCCACTTCTGGGTATATGTCCAAAGAAAACTACATCACTATGCTGAAAAGATATTTACACCCCCACGTTCATTATAGCATTATTTACAATAATCAAGATATGGAAATAATCTATAGTCCATTGATGTATGAATAAAGGTGCTGTATGTATATATCTGTATATGTATACACACATGTACGCATACCATGGAATACTATTCAGCCATAAAAAAAGATAATCCTGTCATTTGCAACAATATGAATGGACCCTGAGGACATTAAGTGAAATAAGTCAGACAGAGAAAGACAAATACCGTATAATCTCATTCATTTGTGGAATCTTAAAAAAAGAAAATACTTATAGAAAAAGAGATCAGATTTGAGGCTGCCAAAAGCAGGGGGTGAGGGAGTTGGATGGTGTCCAAAAGGTAGAAACTTCCAGTTACAAGACAAATAAGTACTGAGGATATTAATAATGTACAGCATGATAACTCTAGTTAGCACTACTGTATGGTATTTGAAAATTGCTAAGACAGGAAATCCTAAAAATTCTCATCACAAGGCAAACAGGTTTTCATTTTTTTCCCCCATTTTTTTTCTTGTATCCAAATGAGATGATGGATGTTAATAAAACTTATTACAGTAATCATTTCAAATATGTGTCATTATCCTGTATACCTTAAACTTATACAATGTTGCATATCAAGTATAGCTCAATAAAACTAAAATAAGTAAACAAAAGATAAAGCCATCCCTCTAGCCCCCCAAAAACAACAACAAAAAACAGAGAACAAATTCCCACCAACCCAGCTTCCCTGAAAGATACAGCATGAGAGGCTCATTTGGGTCACCTCAACCTCATCTACTTCCTTCCACTAAAAGATTTCCATTCTATTATGTGGGTTCCAGATCCAAGCTATGTTAATCAGAATCTATCCACAGAATTTTTAAAACTGTAGTTGGAAAGGAAAGCCCCTTTCCTTCCTCTTCTAAAAAAACATAAATATAAATGAGGAAGCGCAAGTGAACTCATTATCCACCATGTGATAAAAATCTGAGCAAAGAAAATCATTACCTGTCCTAAAGAAACACACACAGTGAGAAGCACAAAAGAGACTCACAACAACATTCAAGGGCCTGATCTCATTTCCTATCAGTCCCCAAAGAAGCCATGGTTCCAATCTTTCCCACATTTGGCTGTTAGCTCTTCTTTTTTATGTACGTGACCTACTCCCTCCCTTATCCTATCAATAAATACCCGCTTCTGGTTTAAGCTGGGTCGGGATGGGTACTGGCTTATGCTAAGGTGTGCACTGCTTATAATGGAGATCATATTCAATTCCTAATACATGCAACTTCACATTTTACATGAAATAAATGCAATTTTACATTTATTTACATTTCATTACATGAACAGGATGTATTTAGTTCCAGTTCCCATCTTTCTAACGCCCTTAGTTAAGCCATAGACTACCGCTGTTGCCAATGGACACCTGCTGGAAAAATTCTATGTAGATAAAAGTAATCTCTACTCTCTCCTTCAAATCTCACATGAAAAGAGGAAAAGATTCGGCAAGGAAGATATTCATCAGAAGAAAAATGACCAATATAATTGTTCCCTGTTAAAAAGAAATGGTACTTTCTCATGATCTTTCTTGATACTCAACTTCTGTTAGTACAAACTGGCCACTATAAGTAAGTTATAAGGTATCTGTTCTCTCTTTTATTTGAAAAAGGGAAATCTGTTAGAAGTGACACCTTGCAGATGTTTCTTGCTGAATAAAATTGGATGGGTTGAGTGACACTATCCTATTATTTTTAAACATTTCTAGATCTTTTCCCATGTAATAAAGAGCATCATTTAACATTTAAAACAATTCTTTTAAAAAGTTCAGCTGCCACTTACTGCTTCCAGTTGTTTCTTCTTCTGTACTAGTAATTCCAACATGAGGTTGACATTGGCCAAATCAAGGTTATCTTGGTCAGTTCCCAATAAATCCTGAAATATTTGCCACCTGTGGCCATTCTAAAAATGAAAAAAAGAGAAACACAATAATTCTCTAAGAAGAGTGTTTTAGAATCTAAAACAAATGTTTAACTGCTATTTCCTAATATGTTTAATAAATAGATATTAACAATATACTATAATGTTCCAATCTACTCCTTTGCAGCTAGTGGCTCCCCACTGCCTTCTAATTACAACTTAAACACTATTTCTCCCTTAAATGAATTCAGATAACAGATGTGAAAGACATAATCAAGACATACATTAAGTCAGCATATCTAAAGGTGTAATTCCCTTCAAAATAAGTGCTTGGATTTTAATTGTCTAGCCATATGTTCAACTTTGTATTTGATTGTATAGTATTAATTTAAGCTCACCTGCCTCAATAATTTGGGGCTAATTCTCTTAAATTAAGAATCTTTCAACAACTTTTCCAAATTACTACACATAGTTTCATCCTGCCACATAATCTTTCAAATGTCGTATTACAAGCCAACTTTCTCGATGTGATCCCACCAGACCTTTCAAAAGATGAGTTAAATTTTAAACAATGCGGTTAAGAAAGTTCTTTATTGAATAAAAAAACAATCTTATACAAATCTCCTTTAAGAAAAATCAATAATATACTAAGCTTTAATATCTAACATTAAAACAATAAAACAATGACGTTTATTAAAAATAGTAATAAGAGGGGTGGCCGGTTAGCTCAGGTGGTTAGAGCACAGTGCTCATAATATTAAGGTTGCCGGTTTGATCCCCACATAGGCCACTGAGCTGCGCCCTCCACAACTACATTGAAACAACTACTTGACTTGGAGCTGATGGCTCCTGGAAAAACACACTGTTCCCCAATTAAAAAAAAAAAAATAGTAATAAGAGTTGAAACATACGGTGCTACTCACTGAGTGGTCCAATTTGAACCTCTTTTCCTCAAACCTTTGCTTCTGTTTGAGAATGAGCTCATTCACTGAAAACAAAAACAAAACAAAAAGCACACATAATTTGTATTTTGTTAAAAATATCTAATTGTTCTGTTTAGATGGATTCTATTTTAATTTTTAAAAGCCCCAAATTAAAAAGATGCTAAGTAGGAAATGCCAGATTATTTTATTTCAAATTAGAAACAGTTTTGCCACAGGCTACTACTGCTAAAACTATTTTACTATTACTATTACTACTGTTACTACTGCAGGAGAATTCTTCAGAATATGTACCTACTCTTATATGTTTTAATGATGACACTACTGGCACTTGGAGACAATTCTTCACTGTGTGAGACTGTCCCGTGCTCTACATGGTAACTGGTTGATTCTATGAGGTAGGCACTAAAGATTTATAGTTGTTCTTTTTGTTTGTGACTTTTCCATAAAAACCATGGCAGACGCTGTCTGTTACCTATCCAAAATCTATCCCACCCTTTAATTTAAATAATAATATGATTTTTTTCCAAGTGTCAGAATGTCACCTTCTTTCAGAGGCTATAACCCTCCTGAGACCAATGGTGTGATTCTTAACTAAGCTAGGCCAATCTTATCATTTACACTCTTGCCAATGACTGATATGGGGTTAAGTATGTGGCCTAGTTTTGACTAATGGGGGTATTCTGTCTTTCAGAAAGAGGACAGGAAAAAAACAAGTTCTTTTCCTGCCTTCATTAGGGGATGCTATCTGGAACTGCTTAGAGCCATCATGCAACCTTGAGGGGAGCTAGCTCAAGGCCCAATACATGCAGGGGATGGAGGAACAGAAAGATGTAAAGAACATGATACTATCAATAAGCCACAGAATTAACTAGTTCTAGAAATTCTTTTTGTGTGAATACATTTTCCTTAATGTTTAAGCTACTTTTAATAGGGTTGTTCTGTCTTTAGCAGCAAACTGATTTTAAAAAAACGATAAAGGGAAACTAGCACTAGACTAGGTAGGCACTTTAATTTATAGACATTATTCCATGAGTTATTCTCCCCATTTTAGAGATGAGGGACTATGACAGCAAGAGCATAGGAACTTTTATCATGGTGACATGTAGTACAACACAGAGCTGGGATACAAATCCAATATCTAATAATTTCCACTAAACCACAATTCAAATATAAATATTTTCAAACAAACAGAGGTACCAAGGCCACACTAAGGACCCACTCTTCAAAGATGAGTAAGACGCAATATAAGGCTCAATCCAAGACTCAGGAACTCAGAGTAGAAGACAGATATATATGATGCAGTAGTTGTATTATAATACAATGTGATAATCGCTATCATTGAAACAGATTTACAAAGAACACAAAACAAAGAGCAATCAAAAATTAATGAGCAGGCTTCAAAAAGAAGGTGACATTAAGAATTGGGCCAAAACAGGCACACAGAGATTCACTGAACAGAAAGAGAAGTGGAAAAGAATTCTGACGGTGGGGGGAGCAAGGGGCAAAGTCACAAAACAGTAGGAGATAAAATGCTTTAAAATCAATATGGCTGAAACTCAGGGTCACAGTGATTTTGTTAATGATTAACAGCGGCTAAGACTAAGACTGGAAATGCAGACAGATTGGAGCCTGATTCTGAAGAGCCTGGTATGTATCTCACAGCCAAAGTTATCATTATAATCCAGGGAAGACAAAGGAAACAGCTTGAAATAATGTAGTACTCTGGGAATAAAGAGGAGCACATGAATAAGAGTGTAATGTTTCATTTACAGAATTTACCATTTGAATAAAAACTGTGCCTTAAATAATTGCAATTTACATTTTAGAAGAAATTTCATATACCACTGAACCTGAGGGACAGTCTAAATCCGTAATTATAGTTCTATCTATCTTTATAACAACCATAGCACTAAGAACAAACAATGCATTTCTATGGCTAAATCTTCCATTCTGGCAACTGTCTTTTTAGAGCCAGGATAGTATAGTAAAAGCACAGACTACTGAGCCCAACTGCTTAGGACCAAATCCCAATTCCACCATTTACTGGCTGTACAACTTTATGCAAGTTACTCAACCTCTCTGTGCTTTAGTTTTCTCACTGGAGGAATAAGGACAACAGTACCTATCTTGTAGGACTGAAAATTAAATGAGTTAAGGTACATAAAGCACTTAGAACAGTGCTTAGAACAGGATAAAAGCATGTGGGAGATATGCAATTTTAGTAGTAGTTCAAACAGAAAAGGAATAAATGAAATGTCTCAATGATAATAAAATGTCTATTTTCAAATCAATGATAAGTATCAAATCACTGATATTTAGATTCCACTGGATACATTTCCAAGAGACCATAGTTTTCTTTTTAGATAACCATATTTACAATACTCCTAAAATTACATCCACTTAAACTTATAAAGAAAAATTCTGGATGCTAATTTAAAATATCACTTTTCAGATATTTGATATGGGTCACCCAAGCAAAAAAAGTTTAAAAACCACTGCTATAGACAATGTGTAGCCCAGCCCTCTACCTATGACTCAAGTGGATAGTGTTAAAAGTGAAGGGTCCTAAATTCATCAATAAAAAAGGTGCAAGGGGGCCTAAAATACTTCAGAATCATATAACATATATTTAGTTTACCATGCTCAAGAGGAAACCTGAAATTACTTTAAAAGGCTCAGATCTTCTCAACCCAACCAAGAAGTGCAGGCACCATATAAATCATGTAATCTCAAACCAAAGCAATGGAAATAAATAACTTACAAGAGTTTTTCAGCATAGAAAAAATACAGTGGTATTCCCTTTCAGAACTAGATCTCAGTGGCATGCTGTGCACCCGGGAAACACAATCCCTATCTACCTACCGTGGGAACCTAAGGATTTGACCATGACTGTACAAAGGTGAAGTACTGAAAAACAGAAACAGATACATCAGGATGAAATACTATTTGCATGGCTGGCATATATAATCACATTGGAGGCTGCAGTATAATTAAAAGACTTCAAAAATATTTATGCTCCAATAATCCAAAACCAAAATTTATCCATAAAAAGAGAAAGTTAAAAACTAGATCATCACCAAGATAATTTCTAGCTCAGAAAAGCAGTAATTGTGAATTCACTGGATACATATATTTGAAAATACACACGCACACACAAAATGTATTAAATCACTTTCCAATGTAAACAGTACATTTTTATATTCCTTCTACTGTATAGTGCTCACTCTCACCATTTAGAAATTCACATAAAAGAATTTAATTTATGGACTCATTAAGGAATGTTGCTTGAAACATTTAGTAAACACCAAAATCTTCAGAACATTAGACCTCTTTCTGTACTTAACCATTCCAAAGCAATAAGTAGTTTTCCAAAGTTATGACAACTGATAGAGAAGTGACTGGAGCCTACACAGCAGCAGCAGCCCAAGTTCAGACAAAGGACTCAGCTTTGCAGGACTTTCTTTTCCCTATTATCTAATCTAGGGACCCATGAGGTCCAGTCTTGCAGAGTATCATTTCACTCAGTATTTCCTCTTTTCCTAAGTTCCTTCTCGAAGTTTGTCATAAGATTTTATCTACCTAAAAGAACTTAGTATTAGTATTCCAACAGAAAACCTTCAAAATATTTCCTTCAGGGTTTCTTTCTGCTGTGCAATCACCCAGTGATTTTCCTTGATGAAAAGATACTGAACTGTAGTGAAAAGCGGAAGAGCAAAGAGGATTACAGCCAATGTAATCTTACAGCAGAAGTAAAAAGGAAAGCCATAGCTGAAAAGGTTTAAATTTATGATTTATTATAAATCACCACTTGAGCTGAACAAAATCAAACTTCAGCGGAAGAACTGGCAGGTCAGAATCTAACATACAAGTAGACCTCACACCCGAATTTTAAGTGCATTACTCTTTAGAAAGAAGAATTAACCTTTTCAATAAACATACCCAATAGTACCTTATTTCATGCCTACCCATATGTGAAAATTAATCTCTGGAAAATTAACCTTCATTTCCAAAAACTCAATCTAAAGATTTCCACAATATCTTAGGCTTTTCAACTTATAGATATTCACATCTGGTTTCTGAGTAGATATTATTCCCCACCATTTACCATTTACTTTAAGAGTTCTCTATTTATGTCTCTCTTCTACATCAAAAGTCCTACATCCATATCTAGCTTCCCCAGATCTTACTTTTTGACTGTCTCCCATGTCACAAACTCTCTGCCCCCACTAAGGAATCCTCATATCCAAGGCTTTTGTTTGGTTTGGTTTTTGTCCTTCTCTCTCTCCATGAACTCTTTCTTCTGTTGCTTCTCACTTCTGCCCCAGAAGCAGAAACAGCAGGAATGCACAAAATGTATAAAGAGACATATTTTCTGAACATGTGACATTTTCCTAAGGCTCACATTCTGTCCGGCCATCTATGTAAGAATCTAAGAGTTGTGTCAATCACTTTTTTTTAAATGAAACTTAAAAATAATACAATATGGTACTAACAACATATGGTATGGAATCTGTCACAACCTAAGTAAGACTGGGGAGAAAGCACCTGGTGAGTAGGAAAGAGACTTGCTTACCTCTAAGCTACGTTTTCTGAATAAATTCATGTTAGCATACAGGTTGGGGGAAAGAATGTTTAAAAAATAAAATATCATTCCAAAGACTCACCCAAGAAATTAGGATATAGATGGTCAATATTATCCACAACATAGTTACACTTGGGACATCTATTATTGTCCTCCAAACTCTGATGAATACACTTGTAGCTATTAGCAGAGGAAAAGAAAAGGGGTTTGATTAAATCAGTGATAGATTAATAAACCGATCACAAAAAAATGCCTATTAGTCTTCTAGTCCTCATTTTCAACATAAGTAATCAAACAGTTACCAATTTATTTCAGCTTATATTTTTACATCGTGAAGAAGATACATTGGGCATTTATTAAATAACAGTATATAGAAATTTTTGACAAATAAACTCAAATAACAAATCTAATGAATACAAAATTTAAAAAGATGTACTAACTTTTAAGTTTATGCAATTTAAATAGTACATAACAACACCAGGAAAAGCAAATGCCTATGATTTAGTTAAGCAAACAGACTATTTGTATTCTTGAAGTGCTGATGTCCTTAATACAAAAAGAGTGAATTCAAATAAAGAAAAGAGAAAAACAGGAAAATCAACAAGATAAAAATTACTCAATAAGCATGAGAAAATCATCACCTTCACTAGGACAAAAAATTGATTTAAAATTATACACTAGTTTTTATCCATCAGAATGGAAACGAAAGAAAATACTGTCAGATTTAAGGCATATGTGTGGCTATGAACAAACTCATGTACTGTTTCAGGAACTATAACTGGTGCAATTTTTTTAGAAGGCAAGTTACATGGAAAACGTTAAGGCTGTGCATGCCCTTTGACGTCGTGATTTTACTTCCAGGGATTGATCCTAAGGAAATAAGCAGAGCTAATAGTAAGCAGAAAGGTGTTCAACTCAAGGTTATCTGTAAATAATAAAATAAACTAGAAGCAGCCAAAACACTAGGAAATTGACTAAGTAAATTTATAAACATCAATCCAATGCAATGTATACACCCAATAAAAATAATCTAATAACTATTAATAGTTATAGCTGAAGAAATGTAATTACAAGAAATTTTTCCCTTACTGAAATGTCTGGTTTTTTACAGTTGTGCATTATCTTATAATAAAAACTTTTAAAATACTGTTCAACCAAAACACAGAGAAATATCAAATTGACATTAGAAAAATAGTCACCATGTTGCTATATTACAGATAAAAATGACAATCTCTAATACAGCGGATACAATATAATCCTATTTCTATTCAAAAACATTGTTTATGTGTACCATTTAAAATAAACCAAAAAAGACATTCATTTTCATGTTAAACTGTATATGTCTCTGAGTTGCATAATTGTGGGAAAATTTTTCTTTGTAGATGTCTTTTATTCAAGTTTCCATAGTAAATATGTATTGTTTCTAACAATTAGAAAAAAGTTATTTCTAAGAAATTCCAAGGTTGATTTATAAAGCTAATTCCTAAAAAAGAAAGCACTTCTTATTCTGTATTCAAATTACCATAAATTGATTTCAGCTTTATAAACTGAAGTTGATTTTTTTATCTACCTACAACCTTTCACTTTATCACAACAAAAACAAAAATCTACATCAATCAGGTTTCTCTGTTCTGGTTATCAACTACTTTCTCATCTCACATTTGTTACATTCAAGATAAGTAAAAAAGAGGTTATGTAGCGGTGAAGCAGTAGATTTTGGCACTGCACAGGGGCCTAAAGATTACGGTAACTGCCTGGCACATAATAGGTATTCAAATACATACTGAACAAATGACTTGCACAATGTTCCAGAAATAATATCATCGCCTCTTTCAACTATACCAAGGCTAGGATTACCATATTACCACAAGATGGGCTACACAAAGGACAGAAAATTTCCTACATGGAAATTTCAATGAAGGCAATAACATACTAAATGTTTTTGCTTTCATTTTTATTGCAAGAGAGAATGATAAAGCAGATATTCAAATATAATAAAGAGCCCCAAATGAAAAAATGTATAATCTGCTTAGGGAAAAAGAAAATGAGTTAATATTACCAGAAAATATTCCCAAATGACAAGACTTAACCCTTAAAAAAAAATCTTTAAGTCCAAATAAAGTAAGTCATGAAGAAGAGAAACTGGGAAGGTTATTAAAGATGGGAGACAGGGGTTGACAGATAAGCAGGACGTTCTGGGTTTTAGCAAATGGCTTTTATAAAGAAATGGTAGTTAGAAAATGGGCAAATAATATGACAAGAAGAATAAGATAAGTTGTTAAACCAGAGAGTTTGTCTATATACCAGATATTATCCTGGAATCCAAAAGAACATCCCCCTATCCTTTTTCCAGTATCCTAATCATGTCACTTGTCAGTAGGCTTACTATCACATCACCCTCTCCTAGAAGAAAAAATGGTCTGGGACACAACCAGAACGAATGATCCTCAGGAACAAAAGTTCAAGTGACTTTTCTGCATTACACTTAACAATATTCATCTATACTATAAAATTAAAATGCAGCAAATTACATACCACTGCATAAAACTGAAGTGACAAGATATATCAAGTTTATCTTATAGCATCTATTACCTCACTACCATCCCAAGGTAGTCCAGGCCATAGTTTGCGAAATAGTAACTTATTTTGTACTAATGTGTGTATGTGTCTGTCAGCCCTTCTTCAATCTGCTCATTAAAAGTAGCGATTTGTTTTACTTACCTCTGTACCCTCAATGCCTGTTAAAGAATTGGAACTCATTAAATGTTCAATAAAAGAAAACATAAATATGAACAAAAAAGAAACACTTCTGCTGCCTTCTGAGTCATACAGAACTCTACTAGAAATTCTCAGTATTCCTTACCACAGTAACTCTAATTCATTCTCATTCCTCTAATTTACTCAAACTTGACCATCACCAGCCCAAAAGCAATGTTTTGGATTCCAAAAGAAGGATAAAAGGACTAGTGATCAAAACAGGTGGGCATAAAGAGGTAAAAAGGATCTTGGGTCCACTTGAGAAGTTTTCAATAGCTTGAATACACTGAATCTCTTAAAAAATATTATTCAGTACCACAATGTGCTGACATGAATGGGTACCTGTGTCCTCTATTATGTGGTCATACATAATAACCAAATACAAAGAAAGATGAACAGAAAGGTGCAAGATGATGAAATTAGTCAAAAGTCCCAAAAGGCAAGTTGGCACCCAGGCCTGATTGCAGATATGCTGGCAGATGACAATACTGACGGAACCTGTTAATTACAAATAATTTGTACTGAAGCAAATAGTAAATGAAAACTTGGTAGACATGAGGTCCAAGAAGCAAGGTACAGGGGATAAGCTGGAGGCAACAAAGGGGCAAAGAGAAAGACCAGACCTCATCTCTATATCATACAGAAGCCACATTTTTTATTATATCATTGAGTTTCAGCTAGGCTACAGCTAATCCCAAATTCACTGTCAAGTGGGAATGAATAAAGTGAAAAAAAGTTCCTGTTATATTATCTCCAACCTATTACTAGGAAAGACTTACCATTTATAAGTGGGACAAGGGAAAAATAGCTGATGCAGTCCAATTTAATTTAGTGTTAATATTATAATTTGGATAGAGCCTTGAAGTGGTATGCAGCTTGGCTCCAGATTACCAGACAAGGTTCAAATTAGCAAAGAGCAGATACAACAGGCTACTGTTAATGACTGAAGTTCCACAGGCCTCACATGTTAGGATAGGGTAAATAATTGTGAGCTTTGGCTTTAAGCAAAAGTACAAAAATGTTTCACAGTTTAGCAAGCCTGACAATGGGAGTGCCAGCCTACAGATTAGCTCCTGCCAAGTTATGGTCTCTATCCTACTAAAATCTGCTCTCTGGTAGATACTTTAAAACACATTCACATCAGAGTGCAAATAATAACTCGAATTGTAACAAGGATTATTAAGCTTAAACTATTTTTATTTGAAGGGAAAAAAAAGTACTTAAGAAGCCAGTGGAGCTTTCCAATAATGACAAACACACCATGAAAGTTATAGGACTCAATGAAAAGGCCAGGCCTGTCCAGTTATAAAGCCAATCAGTAATCAATTACACTTCACAACATAGTCAAGCAAGGTTATTGAACTGATTCAGCAGGCTCTTCAGCACCTTTTAAAAATGACACAGTGAATACATAAGTTAGAGGACAGCAGTTAGGACAAATTAAAAGCTCACTGAACAATCTATTTCACACAACACCTTCGAATCTGTGAAAGAAGAGGTGAAGGAGTAGGAAGAAGACAGGGGAGGGAGGTAGAGAGCAGCAGCAGAGGAGATAGGTTGAGTGACTTAACAGAGGTAGGGTGAGTTTTAAAGCCAGAACTAGAACCCTGGTCTACCCACAGTAAGAGGTTGCTCTTTTAGCTCTGCATCAGTTCTCAACTGAAGGCTATTTTGTCCCCTAAGGGATATCTGGCAATGTCTGGAGATATGTTTGGCTGTCATAACTGGAGGGAGAGGTGATACGCTAAACAATCTATAATACCCAGGATGGTCACCCACAACACAGAATTAATTCTCGGGTCTAGTATGTCAATATTACCAAGGTTGAGAAAGGCTACTCTATTTAAATCACCCAATTTTCCAGAATGATCAAAGTCTAAAGTCTCTAAGAGAATAAATTGTTTCCTATGGAATGCTAAGGTGCTGATCAATTCATGGACCAAAGAGAACTCTACTGCTAAGCAATCAGCCTGAAAAGACCAAGACCATACATGTATCAGCCTAAAAGCAAGATTCACATGACCAGAATTTCAACAGCAATATGGAACAGAAAGTGACTCATGAACCTCAATAATGGCAATTAAGAATAAGCTATTTTTATTCTAAACTTCTTTTTAAATGACTGGCATATAGAATATACCTATCACTGAAGCATCACACCCCAGATAAAACTAAAGGTCTTACAGACTGGTGATAACACCCCATACTTTTCTTGATCAATGGATAATAACCTACCAGGTATCATATTTAAATTCAGGAAAAAGTTATGGGCCTAACTTCAACATGAATTAGAAAACAGTGACTATTACATTATTAGTCAGAAATATCAAGGCTAAAATAATACAACATCAGTGTAAATAATTCATGGAGATGACTGATTGCAAGTAGAATATACCATCCCCAAAGAAAAAATAAACAAAAAGAAATTAAACATACACAGATTACATACACTTTAGGATGGCCACTATCTAAAAACAAACAAACAGAAAATGACAAATGTTGGCGAGGATATGGAAAAATTGAAACCCTTGTGCACTGTTGGTGGGAATGTATTGTAAAATGGGACTGCAGCTATATGGCTGTTCCTCAAAAAATTGATCGTAATATTACCACATGATCTAGCAAATCCACTTCTGGGTATGAATCCCAACGAAGTGAAAGCAGGGTCTGAAGGAGATACTTAGATACCAATGTTCAAAGCAGCATTATTAACAATACCTATGAGGTGAAAGTAACCCAAGTGTCCATCGACAAATGAATGGACAAACAAAATATACATGCTATGAAAGATTATTCAGCCTTAAAAAGGAGGAAATCCTGAATATGCTATAAGATAGATCAAACTTGAGGGCATTATGATAAGTGAAATAAGCCAGTCACAAAAAAGACAAACACTGTTAGATTCCACTTATATAAGGTATCAAGAATAGTCAAGTTAACAAAGACAGGAAGTAAAATAATGACAGAGGCTGTGGGGAGGGCAAATGGGGAGTTGTTGTTTAATGGGTATAGAGTTTCAGTTTTTCAAGATGAAAAAGCTCTGGAGATTGGCTGCACAATAATGTGCACACACTTAACATCATTCAACTTAAAAATGGGTAAGACGCTTAATTTTATTATGTGTATTTTACCACAACCAAAAATTATTTTAAATACACAGATTAATGTCACATATAATCTAAAGGCAACACTGAGCAGTGTTAAAGAAGGAACACACACCCTTTTAACCCTCTGCACGCTTTTCCAATGTCCTTCCAGCCTGCTCTACTGGGCCTCACATCCCCACAGGTGAGTTAGAGGTGCTTTGTCCTGATCACTCACTCCCCCACCCACACTAACCGCGCCACACACACAATTTTCTAAAAGAGCAGTCAAAGCTCTTTAACAATTAATAAACCCCAAAGTTTTAAAATCCATCTGTAAGGCCTATGGTAAATCTAAGTACTTTACAGAAATTACGCACCAACCATATGCTTACTGCCTTGAGCCGTCAAACCTGTAAAGATATATCAGTCAAAGAAATAATATGGTTATAAAATAACCAAAATTAGTTTAAACAACATAACTTCTCACTGACTACATTTATACACAAGTTTGAGACTGTCAAAAGATAATTTCACTAAATAAAATCATCTTACCAAAAGCTGTGGCCACATTTCGTCATGTATGCTTCCTCAATCATATCAAAGCAGATAGGGCTAAAAAGAAAATAGAAAAATAATTGATACATTTTTTAAAGTAGAGTGATTACAAATTGGAAAAGGCCAGCAACAATACCAACAAAATCATATTTCCATATATAGCTAAGTCTTCAAACGTCTTACCAATGAGTGATGAAATTTCTATTGAGCTGAATGAATTTTAGGGGATTGTGGGTAAAATGACAATTTGTTCAAAATGGTGCTAAGGGCCATCAAGCTTTAAAATGAATTTAATCTGTAAATTAAAATGGCCCCAATACTTTAACTCGCTCATAATTTTTAACAGTACAGTTCAATCACAAGAATCCTTAAGAAAGTTCTATCATCTTCTTTGATCATCCCTGAACTCAAAAACACCTACCCAGACCTACTAATCTAAATGTTCTCTTTTATTTACTACCTCAAAGAAAACTAATTCCCTGAGTGATAAATTTAAAATTCCAATTTCATATAACTCTTCTAGTAATTAAGACAGTAGTGATAATACTTAAAATAGCACAAACTATATTAAAACAATGACATATTTTAACACATTTAATCCTTTCAACAACATAGTGGGTACTCTTACTAAACCCATTTTATAGATGACAAAATTGAGGTACAGAGATGTTTAAACTAAGGTTTATGTTCTTAACCACTATTCTATACTGCTTCCAGACACTGTGAGTTAAATACCAAGTCATACCAACTATGACATAGTTCTGGCCAACGAAAGGTAGTTATCAATCTGAGCGGGTACTGTCTACCAGAAAAATGCAAAGCCTTATGAAAAAAGATTCACTTTATCCTTCCCTTTTCTTCCTTCCACAAACTCTGGTGAAGTGTCCAGAGATACTACAGCCATCTTGTGACCATGAAGCCAACCACCATACACTAAGAAGACAGGATACTGGCTAACATGAGCAGTTCCATCAACCATGGATTGCCTACCTCTGTTACTGGCATACAAATCCAATCCTTACTGATGATACATGACACTTAAACTGTAAATGAAAATTCACCCACTCCTTTAAGAAAAACTTCCATGACATAAATACCTTAGAATGTGAGGCTATAAAAAATTATAAAATCTCAATGTTACAGAAGCTCAGAGTCTGACCATGTATAATGTGTTGGCTTAGACTGTGTTGGTTTTGTGAGCTTTACTCTATTAGACTGAGAAGTCTCCTAAATGTGGGGATTTGGTCATTTTCTTCGGAGACAAAGTCCATCTTGCTCCTGCTTGATGGAGATGGGGAGCAGGGCTGGGGGGCCCCCTGAGAGCGTGTGATGAGCTGTGCAGGCTGCTCTGTGACCCCAGTTTCTGGCTGAAGGACGCTGAAGAGCAGATCTGGGCTGGAGGTTATTTCACAGGCACAGTTGGCCGCTGGGTGCTCAACACAGATAATATAAAGGCTCAAAACCCAGGGTGGAGGCACCCTGCCCACAACCTTTTTAAAGAATTTTAGAGCAGTTTTTTGTTTACAACAAAAACAAGAGGACTACATGTCATATAATGTGTTGCACTGATACTAAAAGTTCCATGCAGTACCTAAAAAATTACTATCAGATCAGTTTAAAATAGCAGCTTTTAAGAAATAGCTTCTGAGTAATATGTGAATTAAAGACAAAAAAGTATCCATTCTTTTCACCGAAGGCTAGCTCTTTAACCACTTTGACTTCCAACAAAAATGGAATTCAACTGAAATTAATCCTAGGTATGCCACTTACAGCTTTCTGACTTTGAGCAAGTGGTTTAATCTTTCTAGTCTTGTTTTTTTCATTTGTATAACTGGGATGATATTTACATCACAGACTCACTATACTTCTTAACAAAATATCTGTAAGTACTCAGTACAATTCCAAATATACAATAGTCAATAAATGGTAGAATACACAAAAAGAGAATATGGAAAAATCCGTATCAGTGATAGAGAAACCTGGGAAGAGTGGTATCCACCCAAGCTAAAAACTTCAAGGAATTCCTATTATAAATACGTAGAAGTGAATAAAGAAAGATAAAGACCAACCTCCCCTTCCCAAGAAAGGGATGAAACAACGAAGAAAATATGGAAACACAGAGCGTTCCTAACAAAACAGCACTAACTCTTCCCAATTTTGAAGGGCAAAAATGTACCCGAGTAGGTTCTGAGAAAAACTGTAAATAATCCATTTAGAACCCATTCCATTCTGCCAATCAATAAATAGCATTCAAGGAAGATGAGCTAGAAGACCTAAGCACAAATACAGGCATAGCAAATATATGAATTGGCAGTAAGGCTAAACATTATACAGATACCTGAGATTTTATATGACACCCAACTTTATAAAGACCCCCAACATTTTTACGGACCCCCAAAAACTTTTTATGGGCCCCTGACACAGTAGTATCATCAAAAGGGTGAACAAATCATAAACAGATTAAACCCCTCCTGGGACTGTTCCTGTCTTCTGCACCACCATAACAGAAGCAATTCTTATAAATCAACATGCAAAATAGAAAATCCAATAGGAAAAAAATGGGAAACAATGCGAATTCTTAATTCATAAAAGAGGAAAACACACTGCCTTTCAAGTATATGGAAAGGTGTCCCAACTCACTAGTAATCAAAAACTGGAAATTAAAACAATAAAATAACACTTTATTCCATCAAATTATAATATTAGAAAACTGGAACATCAAATATGTTAGGCAGCTTATGGAGAAACAAGAATATTCATACAGACACACCGTGTGCGTGTGTGTGTGTGTGTGTGTGTGTGTGTGTGTGTGTTTACAGCCAAGAAAAACACGCACATGTGTCAATGGAATATGTATGAGGATGCCTGCAACAAGCCAGATATTAATTGTGACAGGAAATTAGAGGCAGCTTAATGCTCATAATTACTAGAATGGAAAAATAAAGTGTGTTTGGGTATATGCTATAAAACATCATGCAACAGTCATAAGGAAATGAACCAAAGGTACATGGAGCAACATAGCTAGATGTTTTGTAAAGTGAAAATAGAAATGAAAACGAAATCAGTGGCATTATACAATTTATATATATTTAAAACATGGAAAAATATATTTCACAGTGATACATATAATACATTCAAATACATACATAAATCACAATGGAATAGAAAATCAAGAGAAAAGGTCAGGAGGATAAGAAATTAAGTGGGGGAGAGAGAATCAAATACTTTATTCAGTAGGACTTTTCTGAATCACTTTTTGACTAATTTCCAGATTTTTTCACTCAATATTGTCCATTACTTTGGTGAAGTAGCATTTATTAAGAGAATATATAATAGAACCAAAAGCCACTGATATTGGGATCCTGAGCCAGGTTTACATTTAGCCAGCTAAACTACATCTGACTCCAGTTTTAGGAATGTTGCTAAACATGTCTAATTTACCACATCCCAGAATCGCCTCCACCCCTACCTCCCACATATAAACATTTAGTCCATAGGAAACAAAACAGCAATTCACAATTGTCTATAAGACTTTCTTCCAATTTGCTGAAGTCTATATTCAAGTTTTGAAGCAGGCATTTTCTATGTTATCACATCTGCAGGAAATGACTGCTACATCCAACTGCAATCTAGCCAATAGGAATTTTTTTTAATTCTATCATCTATAACACACAACCCGATTTTCATATATGTCATAATATAAAGAAAAAAAGTTCAATTTAGAGTCAAAGAAATATGACAGAAAAGTAAAGCCAGAGAGGCGCCTTGGATGGCCCAATGGACAAAGTGAAACACAATTCGCTCCACTCTACACTTGAAGTCAAAATTTAACTGCAAGCAGACTTACCCTCTTATTATATACACTTAAAAGATGGGAGGAGTTGATAAATGAAACAATTACTTTCAGATATTGGACAACAGGCAGCAAAGTACTGAAATCTTTAAGAGAAGGTGAACAAATGAAGTAAACACTATATCATAGACCCACCTTTCTGCTTTCACAGAAAGCCTCACAGGCCCAAGGATGGAGAACACAAGTGAGAATAATAATCTGAGTTCAGGAAGGATAACGGGTAAAAAAACTTACAGGACAGGACATCACAGAGGAAAGGAGAAAGTATTCTACAAATCTACACAGGGTTCTCGTCAAGTCCGTTGCTGAATACTAGTCATGCAAGTTCTGGGTAAAACTCCACAAGATCAGATAAAAAATAACCAGGGAGCTATAAAACACAGGGTATTCAACAGAGACCCCACAAGAGTCATTAGTAGTGGAGCTAAATGAGCTCAGAAAAATGGTTCCTTATAATCTACCCTAAAAATATTAAATAATATTTTTTCATCCTCAAAAGGATCAACCTGATACACAAGTAACTTAACTTCCTGGCAGAACAAAGTCCAACACTCTGTAAAGAAAACAAAATCTATCACTCAATAGAAAGTTTAAAATGTCCACTACCCAATAAATAAATTACTAGACATGTGAAATAGCAGCAAATGTGACTCATAACAAGAAAAAAGTTAATAGAAACAAAGAACTAATGGAATTAGCAAAAAAGGACTTCAAAATGTATATTACAAATATGTTCAATGACTTAAAGGAACACATGAATATAATTGAGGGGAAATGGAAAATATACATAGAACCAACTGGAACGCTACAGCTGAAAAACATAGCATCTGAAAACAGCAAAAGACACGGAAAGTATAAGAGAAAGTAAAATGCAATTGCTAGAAGTTTAAAAAACACAACACCAGAGACATAGGATTATTTCCACGGGCTCACCAATGCAAGAAACACAAGTTAAGGAAAGAAGCAGTTAATCTGAAGATAGGTCAACAGACATTATCCAAGAAATAATACATACTTTCAATCTTTTGAATGAAAGAAATATTAAAGTGAAAGCTATAAATCCCTTAAATGTTCATGAATTCTACACAAGACGAATCATCCATGTGCAGTGTATTCACACTGTATAGTATATACTTAGTAGCAATCTTGGATATCAAATCCATTATCATATTGAGAAAATATTCACATAACTTTTATTACAGTA